TTTTTTTTTTTTTTTTTTGTCCTACAAACGTCATACACGTAATCGTTCAGATGTTAGTCAAAAATGCAGGCAAATATTTGCAGTAGAGAAGAGAACCACTGGCCAATGACGCTGGAGGATGGCTGTGTCACACCCTTGGTTGTTAAACTCTGTAAAATTGTAAAACTTTTAAGAGCATGTGTTAAGAATTGTACTAAAGAAACGAACAACACTGAAAACACATAGTAGAGTTGGGTTCTATGGTACAAATTGCAGTGGCAAACGCGGAGCAGCAGAGGTCAGAATCCCCTGCAAACATGCAGAGTCAGAAACTCGAGAATCCAGATACTACTAAGGAAATGACTAATAAAGATGGGATCGGGCCCAAAGTGATGAACAAAGGGGGCGGGAAGGGGGGCTGGCTGAAAGCTCCACTGTCAGAGGCCCAAGAGCCTCATGGTGAGTGAACTAGTCAATTAAAAGGTGCTCCTTACAGATGAATTTCATTAAATTTTCTTCTTAAAGTATTAAATAATTGATTTACGTTTCTTTTTTTTTTGCCTTTTTTTTTTTTCTTTTTTTTTTTTTCTTCTATTAAACGTGTGAAATTCTTCTTAAACTCAATTGTTAATCAATTCATCAGTAAGTATCGTGCAATTGCACCTTTTGATTGCCTTGTTAGTCTCATATAGAAGCCAGTGATGATAAATGGCTAATGATCCAGCGGCGGGATTTATAAAATTCTTTGTAATCTTGGTGAATAGCATTAGTTTTGGCTAGATTCACTGTAAGGCCAAAGAGACAATAAATGGGTTTAATTGTGGCCTCTTCCTTTAAGTTATATGGAAAGAGGTCATTAAATCATTGTAACCCGTATAACAATCACGATCATTTGATCATTGTTCCTATTTATTTATATTATTTTTTGCATATTCTATTTTTTTTTTTTCTTTTTTCAGACATTGCAACAAGCAATTTTTTTCTAATACATAAACTTCAAATTCATTCTCTCATTAAAATAATTCCAACAATCCTTTCAATCAAAAATCCCGCCGCTCAAATGATAATTCTTTAGTAATCTGAGGCTTCTTCAAAACAATTCACATCCTTTGAAATTTAATTTCATTTCAGTTATGGTAGATGATGTATCACTTGATGTTGCTTCCATTTTTCTTTTTGTTGCCCGCTCTCGTTAATATTTTAATTTGTTGTTATAAATTTTCATTGATTCTGCCACATTCCTGCGTTTCATTTACATTTTATTTGTCTATGTTATTCTTAAAAAAAAAAAAGGAATAGTTCTGATAAAAGACCAAATTTGCATGAATATAAATTTAGGGAATGTTCCTATATTTCTTACGAAAAGAAACTTAATTGATGTAAAAGGTTAATACCGAAATGCTTAACTAAAGGTACTAGTAATTTTGCTTTAAATGCTGAATTTTTATTGGTATGATTTAAAAAAAAAAACAATTCTGTAAATAATTTGTTTAAATATATTTCATTTCGTATAGCCTGTATTAATTTTTTTTTAAATTTTTGAGTAAAATATTCTGTTATTTAAGCTTCTCTAAAATATTTATTTAAACATTACAAAATATAAACGTTATCATATAAAATCTAACTTCAATTCCTTTTACACGCAGGGATGGAAGAAAATGTAGTTGGTGCTGGAGGGGTTACAGAATTAAGTAATAAACAACGTCATCAAATGAAACATAGAGAACTGTTCTTGTCGCGCCAGGTGGAAACAATGCCCGCAACGCATATAAGAGGCAAATGCTGTGTAACTTTATTAAACGAAACAGAGTCCTTACTAAGCTATTTAAACAAAGAAGATTCTTTCTTCTATTGCTTAGTTTTTGATCCTGCTCAACGTACTTTGCTTGCTGATAAAGGTATTCGTTATTGTTAAAAAATTTTAGATACCAAATACCTGTAACCTTTCGTTATATATTGAAGCATTAACAAATGTAAACTATTACAGGCGAGATTAGAGTAGGTAGTAGATATCAAGCTGATGGAATAGCACCAGTTCCACTGACACCTGCTGAAAGAGAGTCAGATCCTCGTAGGTTGCAAGATTTAGAAACATTGGTTTGGACACCACGGCATTCATTAACAGATCGTCAAATTGATCAATTTCTTGTTGTCAGTAGATCTGTAGGCACATTTGCAAGAGCCTTAGACTGTTCATCTTCAGTTAAACAACCGTCTTTGCATATGTCTGCAGCAGCTGCCTCTAGAGACATCACTCTTGTAAGTATCACTGGTCATCGTTACTGCTGTGTAACTATATAACCTTACGAAGAAAACACGTACGTTACGCCAGTTGTATTTCTAGTTCCATGCTATGGATACTTTACATCGGCACAATTATGACGTTGCGAAAGCTATGTCATCTTTAGTACCTAGCACTGGTCCAGTATTATGCAGAGACGAAATGGAAGAGTGGAGTGCATCTGAGGCGAACCTTTTCGAAGAAGCGCTTGACAAGTATGGGAAAGATTTCTCTGACATACGTCAAGACTTTGTAAGTATGCAAAATAATTGAAGCTACAAACTTTAGCACTTTGCGATGTGGTTATTTTAATAAGCAAGTTCGTTCATTCGTTTTAGTTACCATGGAAAACATTAAAAAATGTTATTGAATACTATTATATGTGGAAGACAACGGACAGATACGTACAGCAAAAAAGGGTAAAAGCTGTAGAAGCTGAAAGTAAATTGAAACAGGTTTATATACCAAATTATAACAAGACGACCCCACCTACAACTGCCCCTTCTGCAGCAACGATTGTACCTCTTGGCAATAGTAATAGCAACAGCAATGGAAAACCAACTAATGTTCTCAATGGTAATAGCAACGGTAACATGACAACTGATAATAGCGGGATATTGATGGTTGGAGTTAGCGGAAAACCCTGTGAGAGTTGTCAAATAATACAAAGTCCACAATGGTATGCTTGGGGTCCGTCGCATATGCAGTGCCGCCTTTGCCAATCATGTTGGACATATTGGAAGAAATACGGCGGTTTGAAGGTACATTTCAATAAACATAAGTTTAGTTTGCAACAAAGATCGTATGATGCACGAAAATAATCTGACATTCTTATCAAATTCAGGTTCCATCGCGTATAGACGATGTTGACGTAGAAAGAAAAAGAGGTGGTACCGGCTCGGACGAAGAGAGCAAGGGAATTGGCGGTGCTCATAGACCTCATCGATGTAGTATTCCTTCCTGCGGTAAAGAATTCAAACTCAAAGCACATTTAAGTCGTCACTACGCGAGCGCTCACGGTGTTGATCTACGCGGAAGCGGAGCGAGTGGAGGTGGCGGAGGTGGATCACCCAGACCTGTAATGAAAACTCGATCGGCGTTTTATTTACGTACTTCGGCATTGGCGCGAGCTGCACGACGATTGTGCGCGGCGCAATTACGTACGCGTCATGCGGCACGAGCACCTCATCAACCTGTGAACGCAGCACCGTTGCGACATCTTTGCGCGTCTCCTCAGTTAACGTCGAAAAGCCCTGCAGAGTTACGTATTTTAGCACGTGCTGTACGGCCTCGGCCGCGTCCGCGCGTAACTGATATAGCAACGCGTTTAGGTGATCATCCTGCTCCACGACAACCTGGAGACTGGGATTGGTTAGCTCTTACAGCACCAGCACAACGAAAACAACCAGATCGGGTTTCCTTCCCCAGACCACCAAAAGCACCAGGTACATAATTCTACTCTTACTTTATTTAAATTTTATTTTTATTCTTACTGATACAATGCATTTAATTTGATTGTGATTTTTATCGTTGTGTTATAGATGGAAGTCTTTTATATGAAAGAGTACCAAATAAATCTGATGTAGATAGGCTGACGATAACTCCACCTCAACCGCAACCTAGTATGCAGGTCCAACAAACGATATTGAAACGCACAAGACCTCCATTCGACGAGATCAACGGATCAGATGGTAAGTTTTAGATTCGCGTACTTATTCGTATGTATTATGCAATCTTAGATCCTAGTATTGAATGTGATCTTTGTTTACTGGCTTCTACTCTGATGTGGATTGGGATGAAGGTAAAATAATTGAGTGCCTAAGAGCTTAAGTATCCAACCAATAAAACAAATAATCAAAATTATTAAATTGAACAGTTTAACATTTGTTCCAAAGGAATACGCATCATCGGTTTCATAGTTTTATATTATTTTGACATTTCAAGCGGTTCAGTTTGGCTATTATATAAATGTAAGTGCTTTTAATAGGTATTGCCCTAAGTGCAGGGCTGCCTGGTGGACCACCTGCAAAAAGGGCTCATCATTCTCAGCAGCTCCATCCAAAACATACTTTGGAGCACGCAGCACCTGCTGTTCTTCCCTTAGCACCACCTCTAAATGGGAGAGCTGCACATCCTCATACCTTGCCACATGGTCCACCATTATCCAGAAGTAATGCGCGCAAACAAGTAATTTCATGGATGGATGCACCGGATGATGTTTACTTTCGTGCTTCAGATCAAACTAAGTTAGCAGCATTGTTATATTTTATAATACAATACATTATCACATCTTATAATACAACATTTAGTCATATGTTTACTAATCGGATAAGAAAAGAACATTATACAAATATTGAAATATTTTTGGAAATTTGCAGAAGACTTAGAAGAACCCTATCATCGGTCGAACTTCGAAGAGCAGCGCGCAAACCATGGCGCAAATTGCCAACTCCTCTGCATCCTCCTCATCCACAGAGAGCGGTACGTGGCGATGATATGGTGGTTATCCTGGACTGAATGAATAATACAATCAACCAGATAAACTGATAGATTCATCAATTCATCAATTTAAAAAAATCTGCTGTTATTGTAATTTTAACAAATCAGCACACAATCAATACCGTGAAGATAATCCAGCTTTATATATTGTCATTGGCAGCTCTAACGTTGAGCAAGGACTAATCGCTGTTTGGAATTTTCTAATATTCAAGACAGCAATTCGCCGAAATTGAAGGCCTCGCTTGACTGAATTTGCATGTTGCATCGACATTGCTGAAACATACTTCACACGTATGGATGAAAGACGATTACCCTGGAACGAACATTCATCGAATCTTTAAAAAAAAAATACAAATAATGAAAAAAAAAAATGAAAATAAATCAACTCATTTGTGAAACATGATTTTTTATTCATATTAATTAGTTATTGTTGTTATTAATAATAATTATTAATAATTGAATGTACATATACATCATACTATATTCATATATACATAACCAGAAACACATAAGTGTCCAATGAGTGGTGGACACAAGTTCTACATTGGTTAAATTGGCCACGCGCATTAGCTCACGAAACAAGTGCGCGTAACAGAGATAAGTATGAAAGAAAAGGAGAGAAAGTGTGTATGTGAGAGAGAAAGGATAAGAACGTACGTGAGGAAGAAAGAAAGAATGCTCATTGTGAATATTTTTATTAAATTTTCAAGTTTGATGACTTCCGTCGCAATTAATAAATAAACATAAGCATAAGTGGAAGAATACATTAGTCTTTTTCCCCTTCCAGTCTTTTTTTACAACTACATAAAGAATTTATTCGCCACCTCATTTTGATGATTTTTTTAATGTGTTGTGGAAATTGACCATTATACATCTCTCCATTTCTTTTCTTTTTTTATACGTATATATATTAACATTTAAGACTTAAATTTAAACTTAAATTAATATAATAATATTTATAAATATTAGAAAGAGAGTTTCAAATCAATGTTAAAAATTCATTACATAAACAAGGATATACGAATATCTTTGACTAAGAGAAAAGTAACCCATTGTTTCCCTTTCATTGCAACCTTCAACTTGAAGGTGATTGATCGACTGATGCAGTTTGATGACTTTATTCAAAAGATAATTAAGGTATGAACCGAGTGTACATTGTTGTGAGTTGTAGTGAATATTACTGAATTCCTTCTGTGGCTTGGCGATTGAAGTGAATATTCTGATATACTGGCGTTTGTTCTGATGGAATGATTAAAGTTTTGAATGATACATGGATGGAATAAGAGAAACTCATGGAAATGCCAGAAGAAAATATTTATGAAAGGAAAAATATAGTGGATGATTTAGTGTCAAAGATTTAAGTTCTTTAGAAAAGTTCTAAAGAAAGTTTTGTGTCTTGTTGATAGAAAATTCTGATTTATGATTGGAATGTTACATTGTTTCCAGCTGTTTTAGTGGAACTAAAACAATGTTATTTCCAATTTTTTGACTAGGACCTATAGTTCCTTGACCATAGACCTAGGCTAAAAATTAGTCAAAGGATTAGATTTATGACGATCTACAATAAACATTGAATTTGTAAGTACGCTTGTTTGCCGAACGGATTACAAATGACAAATGAACGTACTGTATAAAAGAAACTATTAGGTTGGAAAGAAAGTTCTTGCAGTTTTTAACTATTAAATTCACTTTAAAATTATATACAGAGTCAATATAATTTAACACCAACTTAATCGAAAATAGAACATTTAAAATTAAAATAACAAAACCGTATGAACTTTCTTTCCAACCTAATATTATCTTTAATGCAAAAAAATTCATAAATAAATTCAGCATAACGTCGTAAATCGTGCGTAACTTCACCGCATCTCGTTCTAACAACGGGATAAATAAATAAAATATATTCGATTTATACAACGAAACAATGAGCATAAACGTTTATATGCTCGACTGCAGCAACTGCAGCTATTGGTTGCCATTGAATGTCACTGGTCAATCCTCAAGGACGAAAATGGTACCGTTATACATTATCCCTACAGTTTCTACTATAGGGCTTCTAATTCCCAAGGACTCGTCTAAGTCTGCTTCATTTCGTTCAACAGATTATAAAATATTAAAACAGCGAAACTAATCGCTATTGCCATAGGTTTGTATCCCTCTTTGCGAACCTACTTCGTTGTTCTTTCTCCTTCGGAGGCTGTCTCGCTTTAACCGATAACAAAATATTAAAAGCCCCGTATTTTTACAAAAATTAAAAATACCTTTGTATTGATATTTAAAAAAAAAATATGCTAAAGAATATATAATAATAATTCATTGTTGAAACCCCAATCCAGTCGTAAATTATGGAGAGATGAATTATAGGTCATGAAAAGCATCGCTTTTAATATATAGAGGTTGCAAAAAAAATAACCTCTCTTTTCCATAAATTGACAAAATTAAAAAATTAATCCTTTTGCACTCCACTGTCCTTTCTAATCGTACTTATATCTAACAATAAGCTAACAACTCGAATGTTCTTTTTTTTATAATATAAATATAATAATGAATATAGATATATGTTGGCGTTGTACGATATAATGATGTAAATAGTATAATACCTGAACAAACGCTTAAAGTGAAAACTATGAATAACGATACAAGAAGTATAAAAGAATTTCAGAAGAAGAAATTCCCGAGAACAGAGGCAGTTACGAATCAATTGACACACTCATTCGAAATAATTCACATAAACTCGACTTCTCATTGCTTTTTACGAAAATTTACAAAATGATAGGGATTTTGTTTTTCGGAGACTGAAAGTATTGTATATATCATTAACTCTTATATACTATAGTTGTTCTAAAAAAAAACCGTGCACGTTGACAATTATTTTAAACACTTGTTAGAAAGATATAATTAAATTTTACGCCAAAACCATTTCAACAGGATGATTAATATGTTATTTTATTTGAAGTGATATTACTTTGTAAATAAATTGCTGGTAACTGATATAAAAAAAGTTTTTGAGAGCAAAGGATTAAACTAAACATGTGGCTAGTCTGCGTGGAGGGAAAATAGGTCCTGAAAAAGAAAAATAGGGACTAAATTCACTCGCAGAAGGGAAGACAGGACTATTGTAGACTGTGGATTGTAGCATATTATCACTTTTTTCTATGCAAAAGAGCTGTCATCTAAGCACGTGTTAACCAATTAACACGTGTGTAGATTTATTAAATAAATAATTTTTAATAAATAATTTAATAAATTACAAAAATTTAATAAATAATATATTACAAAAATTAATAAGAAACCATAACAACTACTTATATACAATATTTATATACAATAAGATGTTTATGTCTGTCTTGCTCGATTCTTAATAACTGAAATTATAATATATTTTTCACTATCTTATTTTCTTTTTCGTTTTTTTGTAATCAACGTCGCCGCTGTTAAACTCGTTTTAAAAATGCGCGCGCCGCTACAAACATTTGGTAACTTCCGACAAGATAGTTGAATAGCAATAGATGTCGCTACAAACATCAGCTTTGTGCTATCATCTATCGGGCTCTGTCAGAATTTCTAATTCTAATTGACTTTGACAGGTGACAGCATATAAATTAGTCACCTTGTAGTGACATCTATTCAGTCTTATAAAAAGTTACCATGGAGATACAACAAATTATTG